AGAGAGGTTGTATACGCCGCAGGCAGAAGGCGGTACTTTCACTCGGCAGTATGTCGAGGATGTGCACGCTCCTGAACTTGTCGTGCCTTCGATCGGGTGCGACGAGATCGAGCCCGATATTAAACTTACCACGTGCGGCCAAGGGTTGAAAACCGTTATGTTGTCGGCTTCGGTTCTTGTGTTTTAGTGTTAAACATTTTGAATTCCAAGGAATGTTTTAAAATTCTACGCATTCTCAAAATACATTAGACAATTTTGTTTTAGCGAAATATAAAATATGTAGCATATACGAAAGGCTCTTTATCTCGTTATGTTCCGAACAATATCGAGACAATTCATAAAATTCAGTATGAGGATTTTCATGTTTGGGATGAAATACTAGTTCTGATAAAGCTGAACTGAAACTAATATACCGAATAACAATTATGACTTTATTTCAGTTCTCTATAACTGTTTCAGTCGGAACCGATATAGAATAGTTTCAATCAGTTATTTTCGGAACCTTTTTAATCTCCGCAACCCCCTGCGTGCAACCTTCTGCGTTAGATTCGCGATTCAGCTAAAGACACTGCCAATCCGATCCTTCAAACCATATCAAGACAGGAAGACATCATAACGAAACGCGCTGCAACAGCCACCTGCTCTCTTCTTTTCTTTTTTAATTAAAACTTAATAATATGAGATCTAGGCGATCTAGAACAGGGCAATTAGGTTCCATTGCAGCGATATGTCAAAATGTTTGAAGCGAAAAATAAGAGGATCCCGTGAGATCCTCTGAAACTGGAGTATCTAAAAAATAAATATACACTCCCGTGCGAAGTGGTACGGTTCAGAACGTAAGGGTTGCGTAACTCAGTGGTTGGAGGATAGTTTCGTGTCGGTGAGGAGGAGTACATTTATATTTCGAACAGGTTCAGACAGAAACGCGGAAATTCAGCCGCGTGAAAGCGCGTTTTGACGGTGTCGCCAAGTACGCGATTATACAACGAGTCCTTGGAGTTGAATAATGCATCATAGCCGCCACCCGTGGATAGGGGTGGCGAGGCAGATGATCAGATCGAGTCAAATGCAATTAAATTGCAACGCGCCGTGCTACGCATCGTATCGCGGGCGACGCGACGAGTGAAAGTCGAGGATGACAGGTTCGTAGGAACGTCCGAAGGAACGTCCTCATTCGGTACAATTTATTGGATAAGGTGTATAACTTTAAGGAGGTCTTTCATGATCGATTCGGTTCATCGGCGGATCAATGGAAAGTGATCGAAGAAAATCGCTCATGGGAAAGATCGTTCGGGCTATTCGAGGGTCAATATCAGTGTGAAGATCATGATTCGTTGCGGATGAAATGATCTTAGGTACGATTGGGAATAATCTTACTATAAAATGTTTAATATTTCTGCTCAATTAACACTTTATATGTGTTACATGTGATATCTTTGCTAATGTAAGCCGCAAGTGAACTGTCGTTACGTATTACACATATGTTTTTATTACTTCTGTCGAGAAAACTGTTACTACCTTCAGGTGCTTGAACGCATATTTATTTTTAATCACGTTTCTTCCGTTTCTCGCGTGGTGTTTTACAGTAATTTGTGTGTATCTGATATTTCTATTAATTATATAGTTTTTTGTGCCTTATTCCTTTCTCCTTGTTTTTAGTGAATAATAAATTGGTAATAATATTTTCTGTGTATTAGAAGGTATCGGCAAAAAAGTCTTACGAAGCTTATCGAAATGAAGACGTTGAAAAGTTAAATAGTCAATTTATATGCTATAATTCACTTCGTAAATGTACTTTCCCCTCTTTTCATATTCTTAATTATTTCATAATAAATTCTGAATATGTGCACTAGACTCGATCAGAGGCGGCTGATCTCCCTTTAAGATTGGATCATACGTCATCGCCGAACATGGGGAGAACTTTCTTTCTCCGGCCACCTCTAAAAAGATGCCACCTGCTTAAGGTTCAACGAACTTATCACCGGAGGAGACACATCGCGTATCCACACCCAATTCGAGCCTCGTCATAAATTGTTTTGGTAATTACTTTCTCCCGGACTGCGGTCACGCGAGGGACACGAATGCGATGGGACACATCCTAAACGTGGACTATGAATTAAAACGGAAGAAACTGGCACATGTCCACTTTTTAAACGACCCACGTCCTTCGCGGCGGGATCAATGAAAATGAACAGATCCAACGGACATTGCTCCAAGTTAATTGTTTTGAAAAGTTAAAGAGCATTGGGTAACATAATTTTAGTTTTAATGTTAGTCTGCACCAATAAAAACTTAAATAATTCTAATATTCTATAATTGAAAAATGAGATTCTACAGTTTTGTTTATTATCTGTGCTTAATACTGAAAAATGTTGCCGATGTCCGACATATTGAAATATTTAATTTTAACTAGTGCATTTTCTTTTCGAAGTATTTAATAAATGACATAAAATTTACCTCGTTGGTTCTCCAAGTTATTTTTGTCATTATAATTCAAATTAACTAGTATAAATATTATTTTTTTTATAGAAAATTTAACACCTTCATTTTCACAAGCATAATAAACTAATTAACTATAACACTGCAGCTACTTCTATAGCCAATAGCGTGAGTAACCGATATTATATTTTGATCAACGCGTTCACTAGTGAAAACGAGACTGCACTTTCGAAAAAAACTGCACACTCGCGTTTTACTTGAAATCCATACTCCTATCGCCTGAACTGATTTCATTTTCATGCCACAAAGTGAAAGATTCGAAGGAACAGAGAGAGACAACGAACTGTATGCGGTCAATGAAAGACTTTTCCACGACCCTTTGCAAAAGGACGATCGCAATCGACATTGTCGAAGGATAGAAAAGAAGCCACAGCCTCGACCGCAGTGTAATATTAAGTTTCCACGCGTGTACGTGTTCACGGATAAATTAATAGTATCTGTATCTCGTGTCGCGGTCCATTAACTGCGCGAAAGCTAGCGCCGCGTCGCATGAAATTCGCTAATCTTTCACGGCCGACACAAATGGTTTCGAATTTGGGCGATTCGCGTGTTATGGGGCAGTCAACGCTCGGTGCGTGAAACGAATTCGAATTTCAATTAAAGCGCGTTCAACTAATTGCCGTACTCGCTCTTGTACCACATAATAAATAGGTTAATGAAATCGCGAACCCGGGCAGCGTGCTGCGCCCGAGGAATCCGTGGCCATTACCAAAACTGATCTATCTTACGATCGATACATTTTTTTCTCTTTGCTATAATTTAATGAACGTGAATCTTGATTTCTCAATTACACGTTTCTCTTATCTGAAGAAATATGACTGCATAAAAGAATGAATGAAAACGTAGATTGATATCTTTTCGTATGAAGCTTTGTTTTCGAATAAATCAATATTAAAACTTGCCAATAGTTTAAGTAAATAATAATATTTGAAAAACTCTTCTTTTTATTTATTATTAAAAAATGTCAACCTTTTTGCATCAATCTAATAGATACTGTAAATAATAGTTTTTTGTAATCTATGTATAAAAATTTGAGACTGAATTTTGGCCAAGTACATACGTTATTGAATAGGGTTTGGATAACGTGTCTGTTATTTGCTTACTCATTCCCCTTTAAGCACAAAGTCAAATGAGATCGATTTATTTTGAAATGAGATTTTGACTTACTTTTTCATGAAGATTCATTTTCTACAAGTTTATACCACTCATTCAAAAACACTCGAGTATAAAATTATTTCCAATATTTTAGGCCACGCACATTTGTATTCTCAGTTAAGGAAATGGTATAGGAAAACGGAAGACCGGTGTTGGAGGAAGAACGCAGCGTGATGGCCGAAGGAAAGTTTTTAATGATAAAAGAATGTCCGTCGTCGAGTAGTGAAACTAAAAGCAATAAGGAATCGAGGGACAGTTTAAAGGGAATGTTTATACGCGTAAATCGTTGGATTAAAAATCGATCGATATTGATTTACAATTAGTATTATGTTTCATTTTGTCAGCGAAGACAACGCAGACATAGAAAAATTTGATATCCATCATGAATCGAAGGGACTGACGATTTTGCTTTTTATGGAACAAACTCAAATGATGATGTTCGCGAAAAAGAGGCCGTAAACAATTATCGTTGAAAGTGTTAATTATGAATCAGGAGAAAACCTATTACACGATACGATCTTAATGAAAATTGGTAATTTCAGCTTTTGATTCATAAGGCGTGTACCGACCTATAAAGATTTCACTGATTATCTTATTTCGAACAGTGTGACAGCGTTAAGTTCAAGGCTATGAATTATACACTGCAGGAAGTGCCACGTATATGCACACTCGGAAATATCTGAATCGCGGAACACACAAATACGGGAGAAGAAAGTCGGCTGCACAGAATGCTCATCGGGAACTTCTTCTGAGTAGAAATCTGAATTTTTCCAGCATCGAGTCGCACGGTAAAACTAACTTTCGATTACCACCGGGCCGACATAATATATATATATATATTCGCTTCTTTCAAGGGGAACATGTTTCCCATAAACATACTTCGAAACTTACGGCGTGTAAAATAAATCACTTTTACCGTTCTGCTTTCTCGCAGATATAATGACATAACTTGAAATACTTTCCGGTTTTTTAAAGGATTTCATTGAATTTATTTTATGAATTGAAAAGGGATAAGATAAATTCAATGAAATTCTTCAAAAACCTGAAAGTACTGACTCTCTTAGTATACAGTGATATATCTGGAATTGTCATATCATTGTTGTACAACAATGTAACCAGGTAAAAATTGTTTAATATGTATTTTCACTTGTCATGTAGGGAATCAACGATCGACACTTTTCACTTAGCGTTAATGCGCGATTCGATTCACTGTCACAAACACGTGATAAATCCCTCGTTGTTAGTATACGTGCACGAAGATAGTACGAGAGAAAACCCGAGGCGATAGTGAAAATAGAGAAACTTATCGTAGGAGAAGTACAGTGAATGAGTAGTTTCGTACTCACCAAGCTCATGATGCTGTCTGTGCCCACACTCGGTTAGCACGCGGCTTTTACTCAGGAAGATGATCTTCAGGTGGTGATAGTTTTGTGAAAGAGGAGGGGTCCACGATGTTGATACACGTGTATGAGACATGCCGTGAAAGAAAGGAGCCGAGGAATTCGCCTATGTTGTCAATTTCCAAATTGCGACAAACTTGTTCCGCGGTCCAGAATCTACGGTTTTCGTATACTATGTATTTTAAGAAAGCAACGCTTTCCAACAAATTTTAACTTCTACATGTATTTTGTTAATATAAATATAAGTACATAATATAAGTTAATATAATGTAATGCTTTTGCGAGGAAGCAATACTTTCCAACAAATGTTGACATTACCCTTTATCATTCATACACTAATTTGTGTGAACATTTTTTAGTTAAGTTTGAAAATTAAGGATCTGAGACAAAATTGAACCTTTCGTATGAAAACCGTCGAAGAAAGTTATAATATAGGTTTCATTTTCGATGTTGAAAATAAAATAATTTCACCCAACACAGATAGCTGGTAATCTTGAACACTTACGATTTACGATTGCTTGACATCTCCTTCAGCGTAATTATTATTATTACTAGTAGCAATACTGTTATTATTGTATGGTAAAGGTGCATTAAATACATATAATATACAAAGATAGTCATACGGATAAAAGAAACATACCTACATAAACAGAAAATTATAAATAGTAAAGTACTGTTTAGAGTAAATAAATATTCACTTGATGAAAAATGCAATAGACTTCTTGTTGTTTATCCCGTGGCATAAAAATATTTATAACAAATTCATTTATTCTGAAAAAGAGTTTACATAATACACAATATTAACATGCTGGCAGATGAACATCAATTAGAAATTAGATATTAAAATACTTTAAGTGACATTATATAATCAAGTTAAATGGAAAAGCTAATACAGTAATAGTAATTTAAATTATCAAATGATCAAAACATGTGATCCACAGTTTTTATCACAATAAAATGTTACTTATCTACATGCTGACGTAACGGAAAAGAGAAAAATAGATCATATACATAACTCTGTAGACTTTTGATGTTAACATACGCGATTGATCACATGTGTAATGCGATGAAGCATGTAAGTGTTGCAATAAAATTTGTATAATTATTTTTATTTGCTTTGAATATATCGAAGTTTTTTGTACAGGATATGAATTTTTATTTTATAATAATCATCAGATGATCAGAAATTCGTTGTTAAAATTACCATTCTAATTATAATGTAAGTAGCAGTTACTTTTGTAACGTATTAATTTTTGGGAGAACAAGCATTTGAAATTATTGCATCAGCTGAAAATATAGGAAACTAATCTATAAACACCAGTATGAGCCTTAACTGAATCGCAGAAGTGCGAAAACCATGGCGGCGGTTCTGTTGGCGAAGTTGCACTTTCGTTGTGTCGTACGTTTTTCCGACCGAGAGTACAAGCGCTGAAGATATTGCACCATAAAAGTTGAATCGGGAACAAGAATGGTATGTAAAGTAATAAAACCAATAACTGTCGTTCTACTGTTATCAAATAAACCATTCATTACGTCAACATAACCTCAGCTGAAGATGATACAACGTCATCGTTTTGATCATTTTTTAGCGTAATATATTAATAGTTTGTAACATTTATTTTAATTTTTTATTTGTTCGTATAAATTTTCTTTGGACGATTAAACAGTTTGCTATCTTTTTTGTTGTTGTAATAACAGAGTCAAACCAGTCAATCTGGTAAATCGGATGACGATGGAGAAGATCAAGAAGGTTCTTCTTTTTCGGAAACCAAAATTGAGGATGCCTTAACATCTTTCCGAGAGCAATGGCAACGTGAACTAGTTTTGTCACCAAGACCGGACACATCTAAAGCTCTTCCTTCAAAAGCAGTTGAAATTAATGTGGATTATGAGGATGAGACCATTGAAGAAAAAGTAGAATAATCACTGTCATGTGCTTATAAGATAAATCCAATGTAAAAATGACAATAATACAATTTTATATTTTAGGCAAAAAGTCTGTTTTTGACAGGAATTGAGTATGAGCAAAACAGGAAATTTTATGAAGCAATTCAATTTTACAAACGTGCTGTACAATTGGTTCCTGATATTGAGTTTCGATTATATGAATCAACAAAAATGAAACCCATTGATGACAACCTTGAAAATTTAGATAATGATTCAAACAGTGTTGATAATAATGATGAAAATCATAATGAAGAAGATGAGGAGGAAAGTGATCTATTTTTCAAGCTATGCAAAATTGTAAACCGCAATAAATGTGTTTGTTTTCCTAAGTTTGAACAAAATGTTGGTACTTCTTATTTTTAATAAATCAGTTATTACTTCAGTTATATTATTCAATATTTAAGTATTATTATGCTATTTATATTTGTTCTTCATTTTAGACAACACATATTTCTGCCTTGCCTATGGAAATAATGCTATATATTTTGAGATGGGTGGTATCTTCAGAGCTTGATATGAGGTCTTTGGAAATGTTCTCAAGGGTATGCCGTGGATTTTACATATCTGCGAGAGATACAGAGATCTGGAGACTTGCTTGTGTTAGGTAAATTATAAGCATTTCTTATTGTGTCTAATAACGTATTAATTAGTTATGCTGTTAACAAATTATATAGAGCGTGGGGTGTGAATTGTGGAACTTATATTCCAAAATACCAATCATGGAGAGAAATGTACTTACAGCGGCCTAGACTGAGATATAATGGATGTTACATTAGCAAGACCAGTTATATTCGTCATGGTGAAAATAGTTTCCAAGATCAATTTTATAGACCTTGGCATTTGGTGGAATACTTCAGGTACCTAAGGTATGTGTGAATATAATCTGCTACACTTATAGTTGTGAACTTCAAATTCTCATGTTAAATTTTTTCAATAAACAGATTTTTCCCTGAAGGTAAAGTCTTAATGTTAACTTCAACTGATGACGCACAAACATGTGTAAACTCTTTAAGAAGTCGCGCACCGCGAAATCCGGCTGTGCTTATTGGCCATTATAGATTACATGTTAATTATGTTACCGTAGTGCTCAAGAAACAAGAGGCTAAAGCATCTACTACTTACAGAAAAAAGAAAAAGGAGCCTCTAGATGAACACACATTTCACATTGTAAGTACTAATATTTATGACATTTCTTTGAAATGAAATAAATATTTAAAAAAAATTTTCGTGATTTCTTAATAGGAATTTGAAATTAAAGAACATTTTAAACGGACTAATTCTCTTTTAAAATGGTTGAGTTATACTATATTTACAAAATATGGGAATGGACAAGAAGTAAGAACTTGTTTGAAAGAACCATCTATGAAGGAATGGAGGGTGTCATCTATTGGTGGACGATATCCTCCTCTTAAATTTAGCAGGGTCAAGAGTTATACTCAAGAAAGCGAAGCTCCTTTGCAATAATATAATTGCACAGCAACGGTACAATAATGGAGTAAAGATTTGAAAGAAGACTAATTTCTACAGGTTAGCGTTACTTGTACAAATTTCTTTTGATGTATATTGCAAACATATGAAGTAGTTAACATATATAAATACTTTTTAAGTTATAATTATGTACATTAAATTAAAATAAGGAAATATTTATTTTTAATTTCATATTCTAGTATTTTTTTAGGTAACTTTTATTCAGATACTATACAATTATCACATTACAGTTGTCACATAAATTTAATGTAGGCATTACAGATAAATAACGAATATAATATATTATTTTAATATGCACTTCTTAAGTGCCTTACGTGCTTTCAAAATAGGTGCTTGTAATTCAGAAATTGTTTGCGTATTTTATTTATAATGATTATCAGCCACAGTTTTCATATTACTAAGGTTGATAATTAATGATATTAACATTGTTAGTTTCCTAATAATATTTAATTTTGTTCAAACTTTAATCTACCGAAACTATAATCTATTTGATGAATAGAACCGCAAAAATATAAAGAATTATAGGGATATAATCTATTGGTCGTTATTTATTAAAACAAGATAGTAGAAAGGCGTTACTTTTTGCAGCTCAATTTCTATTCTATTAATTTCGTATAGATTTCTGCTTAGAACATACCCATTTAGTCGACGTATATGGAAAAAACAAAAATATGAGTATTACATTAATCAAATGTAAACTACTTATTTCATAATTATAAAAATTTTAGTAAACTACAAATTATCCGTTGATCTCTTTCTAATGTAATGTATAAATTCCTAACAACTCTATATGAGTAACAAAGTTAGGTACGAATAATTATGCAGCACGGAATTAAATGAATTCGAATAAATAGTTTGGAACAGTTTTATTCATCTAGATGTAATACTGACATTGTGAAGCGATTTACTGGATTGAGAGAATGATTGCTTGGGAACACATCGTGTACATTGCTGTGAATGTCTATTATAATTACAATAATAAACGTATTTTTGATGTGCTTATTCCTTCTAAATTATTTTACGCAGGCATATCACTTCTTTCATTGCTTCTATCAACGTAATTGTTTACACCTCATAATAAATCTCTGGAATATCGCCAGAAACTTAATCTGGCACATGAATTTATATCATTCACGATATGATACGTTCGATTTTGTACTAATGGTTGTACTTAGACTGTTCCACGCATTATAAAAGTCGCGTACGCGTACTTTTTATGGTATGAAAATTTGGTACATCTTATGTACATATCTTTCATTTATTGTACAGGTGTACTTTAAAAAGATCTTGCCATTCTGCTATAAAGCATTTCTGGTCTCTGATTGTGAGACACCTGCACGAGTAGTCGCTGGTTTGTTGTTAGGCTCAAATTTATCACAGATTGCAGTGAATGGTATTCACGATTCAATCACAGTTCATCATGCTTCGCCGAAACGAAGCTCGTTCCATTGCACATCGACGATTCAGACATCCAAGCGAGATCCTGCAGAGTGGCTGCGTGCATGGAGCACACTGCTAAAACAACCAACACATGCATCAAATTGTGAGAATTCAATGCAAAGTCTAACTTGCCAGGAATCCATTTTTCAGGAATGCGCATTGCTCCAATAGTTGCTCCCACGACAGATATCAAGTCCTAAAAAGTGATTCCTTTAAAATCTTTAGAAATGGACATCCTTTTGTAATGAAATTCTTGATCCTTATTAAAATTCTTGTTTTCAAAAGTGTCACATTTTCCATTACTGCATGAATCATTCTCTAGTTACCTGTAGTATAATATGAAGTAATGCGTCTGGGGAACCTCCGCCAATACCAAAACATCGTAAAATCATTAGTAACATCCTCATGAGGAAAGGAGGTGCAAAGCATAATCTTCTCTCCCACGGAGAAAGCGCATGCATTGCCTGTAAAATAAATATAATAGTTACTAAAATTAAGTTATTGAATAAATCCAAGAAATAAAATTTAACCCAACTTACTTTAAGGAGTCCCCAAATACAAAGGGAACAATAGATGAAAATACAGCAGTACCAATAACTATCTGGTAGACAGTGAACTGATGCTGCCATCATAGGAATCGCTCCTAGAATAATTTAGACATTTCGTTATATTAATTATATTAATTACGTCCAGTTATTATATAATTTTCATCGTTCATTAGATAACTATACATTACCAAAACTTTGGCACAGCCATATGCCAATCATGTCTAGTTTCAACAGCTTTCTATAGAATACTTCATCGTAATTTAAGTTCATGAAAAGATGATAAATGAAAGAACCGACCCACGGACTAACGGCACCGATCAGGTGACACCATGATAATATTTCTGTGAAGGCACCTTGGGTGCTCCATGGAAGAAGTTGCGGTATCGTCAATAACATGTACAGGATAGCGAATCCTGTAAAAAAATATCCCACATTTATGCATATAAAAAATTATTTTCATAAAATTACATGTTTCTTCCTGATTCCGAAGATTTGAAGATTCCCTTAGATGCTTATATTTAAAATTTGAACGACAAAATATATCTGGCAACTGCCGTTAAATAGTCAAAAGTTTAATAATACCATCATAGTATAATACATTTAAAGAAGATTAATATTTCGAGCCATTACTTCTGGAAAGCTTTAATCTAACATATCTATATTATTCCTTATATTATAAAAATAATTTGTTATTTAGAAAATTGAAACAACTAGTAGCTTATTAATATTACTATATGTAATCCTTATGCAGTAAATGTTCGTTTTCCATATTGCGTATGAATAATAAGTGTACCTTACAAAAAATAAGTGATATCAGTTTTTTTCGTTTAACTATTTATACACGGACATAATCTTTGACCTAATAACATTTTATACCGTGCAAATATATGTGGGTCGATAAACGATGTCTTCCTCTCCTCTTTTATTGTCATACAATTTTGTCACGTCAAATGGAACGTTACATGCATACATGAAAAGCTGCATGTCAGATAAATAATTCATTAAACAAAGGTATGACACAATTTCCCGACATGAGAGTTCCCTCTGAAATTCTTTAAATTATTATTAGACATTAGTCTTGTCTGATATAATAGTCGTAAACTGTTCATTGTCTTTTTTAGCGAAACAAATGCTGAGATTCAGATAATATGATAGCAATGTTATCGCTGTCCCACATCAATGTTAAGAATAAATCCGTAAAGGATAATATAAGTACGGCTTCGGTTATCGATTTTTAACCATCCCGCAATGCGCTGATAGGAATATGATGATTTTTTGCGTAAGTTCACCTTGAATCGTGTAACCCAAGGGTAATCCATTTTTCCGCTTAATTCAATCAGAGCTAACGCCTCTCTGTCTTTCTCAATACCTTTAGGGAAGACTGCAAGAAAATTAGATAGGTTTACAATAGTCACTATCAATACGAATAATTTTTTTATTCGGACCCTTTATGTCTGTGAAATGACATATATTTGTTTGAATGCAATAAATTGGCTCATTCAATTTATTCTACTTGCAATTATTACATATACTTATTTCTAAAAAATGGTTCAAAGTTCGCGTATAGAAAAAAAGATACGATGTACGAAAATTTCATGACAATTTATAACATTCGTTAATAAAATGAGTGACAGAAATAAATTTTTCTATGTAAAAGCTATAAACCAAATGTATTTCAACTCTAGGCAAGTTCTACGAAAATTATTCTTATATTTTATTAATAACTTAGATTCCACCTGACATCAACTTCTAATGAACAAAAGTTTATACCTTAAACATAAAAGTTTTACAAATATTATTTTTATTCATCGATACTACGAAGCACATTAAAACAAATATATTTTAAATCGTTTCGTCCGAAACTTACTTTCCGTGAAGCACAGTGGCCGCAGTCAGTGTTTCTAGGGTTAAAATTAGAAGATTCAGAGCGTGAGGATAATCAAACTCTTCAAAGATTAACTAGCTACCTGATTTACCGCAAACCAGTGTCACTTTAAATAACCTTCTAGGTCAACTAGATAACTCGACCAACCAAAATCATCAATTTCCCATTGATCAATTTGCAACAATATCATCCATAATACAACAGCTGTGGAAATCATCGATCTGCTACAGCTGAATCAAACTCGAGCAGCGGCGCAAGGCCAAGTTCCTGACTCGGGGAACCCCCGTTGGACGCGACCCCCACAGTACACGCACTTTATCTTGTCTCCCAGAGAAACAAACTGCAGAGTGGGGATAATCTCTGAGCGACCTTGAGGGACCAACTGATTTTGGATCCGACTATGCTAGCGGGCTTACCATGCGTCATGATGTTGACGGTTTCATTGTGGATATAAAAGAGGCTGCCAAGGCATTGGCGGACGGTCATAAGCGGCCTGTACCCGGTGCGGATGTGGGGGTTGAACTGCAGGTGCTTTGGCATCTCGCTCCATTGTCGCAGCTGAGGAACACTCGGTTTCCCAGGTTGCGACGGCTGCTCGACCATCCTTCCGTTTTTGATGTCCTGGCTATCGAGCGAGTCCATGTTACCGATATCCTGGAGCGGAGAACCTGACGCCTCCGCATTCTGTTCGTCGTCCCGCAGCGACGTTGTGCAGCCTAAATAGTTCGTGAGGGGTGGTCGAAGTCACACGGGCACACGCGGGTGTAATGACAGCGCCTCCGAAAGCGGTGTCTCGGCTCTCGGCGACGGCGACGTCGTTACTGCATCAGTTTCGCACTCGATGGCTCCGTCCACCACCATCCGCGATTCCGACCTCTCTGACGGTGCCGTTACCACGGAAACCGCATCGATCCTTTTCATTGCCAGAGAAAACGCGCCCCTCGAATATGCGAGGTGCTCCCGCGGAACCCAGTCGCCGATCTACCCCCAGAAACGCTATCGTGACGCGCATCCACTTTTAGCGCTCGCGCTCTAACAATTTAGGGGATGACATTGTCTTTCTAGCCTCGCGGCGGGAAGTGAACTAGATGTTGATCATCTGCGAAACGGGGGAAGATGAGGAAGTTATCGGGGGTGAGACGCTTAACATTTTGCGGACCTGTGTCCAGACGGATTTGTCATTTAACCCTGTGCACTCGAGAGTATTTTTAACGATAAGGATCCATTATTCTTTCTTACGAAATATCGGTGATATTTTTTAGAATTTTGTATAAACTAAGACAAAATTATTTTATTTTGGCGTTCAATATGTTGATACATTATATAAAATTTAATACTGAATATCAAATTATATAATTTTACTGATTTGAATCAAATAGCGATTGAAAGTTGTTTCTCGACTGCAAAGGGTTAATTTTATATTAACAGTTGTGCATTTTAACAATTTTTATCGTAATTTCTTGTAGTATTGTAAAGTTGACATGTTTTCTACTGAATTGTGACAATTTTGGTATAAAAATCCAAAACGCTTCGGACCGCAAAGGGTTAACGTTCTTGATATCACTATCTCGTATTTATGATGACTATGATCGTATTTATATAATACGTTGTATTAACTTAGTGTAGAATTTCATTAAAAGTTGTAGAGTGAAATTAAGGACATCAACTATTTTTTCAATGGATATTTTGCGCTTAATAAACTATATATACAGCTATTACCAAAAGGAATGGTGGTATCGAACGCGTTAAACCGGGTCATCTTGATAACTTCCTTATCATCGTTGCAGAATATAATTTGTTCTCTAAATAGAAAATAAACCGGTGAAAATATCTTCATTGGAGAGAGATTTAAACCTCTTACTGTCTTAATACGTAACATTACATTATACAATTGAGGATGTTCTGAAATCGATCATTTTGTATTTGATTGATTTTTAATCATTCCTTCTTCAGCATGACTATCTTGACTCTATCAACCATATCCATACTCTAAGTTTTTTAAAATTAAAAGTTATCGAAATAGATATATGATACGATAATATGATAAAAACTTTTAAAAATCCTTAATAAATACTTCGTAGTATAAACCTCTGATTTCAATAAACTTAATTTTAAAACAACGTCGATTATATGCTATGAATAACAATTTCATATAACTTGAATCTCCTTAGGTTTTCCAATGTTTTCCGATGAGTTCCTCTTTATCGTTTGAGAACTTCTGCAGGTGCCTTTTATAGCATCGGTCAGGTTATTTAGAGAAAACGTGAGCCTTAATATTCACAGGAAAGGTTAATTAAAAGGATAGAATAGATTTCGTACTAATTTATTAATAAATTCCTTAACTTTGACTTTTACCATCTTGACATCCATTTAATCACAGCTAAATTCTACCATTTCATTCGAATACAAGAATTTGCCAGTATTTAAAAAATTGGCGCATAACATTACTGCATCAACTTAAAACTTTAACTAATTTACACATTAATTTGAAATACTTGAAACATCTCTATTATTTATTACAGTTTAAGATTTTACATTGAAACAGTTTCTGGACCCTTGCCACATAATATGTTACATGTTTACAATCAGTTATACAATGTTATGTTCACCACCTCAATTGGCTCCAAATTCAAATTTTCAATACATGAATGACGAACAATATTTTTAGGCTGCTCATTAGATCAAGTTTTAGATAAGATTCAAATCTTGGTTTAGGGCCAACATCGGACATGGTCTGAATACCACGTAAATCGAGAATGACGGCGCTATTATTCATCGACTCTAGATTGTTCACGGAGCGATTGCCCATTCTCGTCAAACGTCACTCACTGTCAACTTAAGGTGACCAGGAAGCGAGAGCAAAGGAGACCGGGAATTTCAAGTGACGTCGTGACTCCTGCTAGCTGCCGCCGCTAAAATAAGGACAGACGTTCGACTGTAATCAATGGACAGCTTCCAACTTGTAAGCTTACATAATTAATCAATGAATCATCTTTCATCGCCTTCCATGCGTAAAGCAATCTATTTTCTTGTAAGAACCCTGTCCAGCAACGTGAACAGGTGGACGCGCGCAATGTAGTATAAACAATGCCCTTTGTTCATTAATTGAAACGAAATGGTTGCAATAATGTTGTCTCGTGTACATGGGGTTAGTTAGCAGCGAGACAGCGCAAGCGCTACAGAGTACCGCACGTTACTTGCACCAGCTCCTCTTCGTGAGCTGTGACTATCCGGATAAAATGGGCGCAGGTTTTGTACAGTGTCTGTTATTTCGTTACGCCGCTCGAAGTGCATCTATCTTAATTTATGCGTTAAAGGGCCGGGGCAACAACCTTAACCTTCAACAGCAGGTACGTCGAGTCAGTGCAACGTGGAATCGAGTTCGGTCACTTTCAATCTCATTGATCCTATTAATCCTTTGATTGCAATTTTCCCTCCTCCCTAACGCCATTAGCGCAGGTCCAGTCATATCACGTGGTCTTCCATACGGGGTAATAACGGTCGTATCGAATTATTGACGTGACCTGAACCTGAAGATACCACTTGCCTGGTACCGAAGGACCGGTGTACCTTTGATGATTGAAAAATTTAGTGTCACGGTATAATTTTATTTTTCCTTTTTTTTGGTGTTTTTAAATGTTTATGAAATTTCTTGGTGAAGTTAGATTCGGATGGACACGGGCGTGCAATCGTGATGTAATCGAGTGATCGAATTGTTTGCAGCAATCGCACAAAAAATTATGGACATTTGGTGCAGATTTGACCCCTTCCATCACGATGAAATGCTACGGCCAGATACAGACTAAATTGATGACGTTCGATTCGACAACACAGGTAAGCAGATTTTTGACTGGTGTCTTTTCAATTTTCGCGGCTACTGTATGTTTTGCCCGTTTTCTGTTGCTTGTACGTCAAAACTTTTACCGATAACGATGTAGTTACCCTGTCTGGTGTACTCGTGGTGTGGTGCCACCTAGGATAATGTGTACAGAGGTCATCAACTGGCCACTCGGAGTTTGCATGTTTATCTTGGAACCTCGTGAACATTACAATTGATATTATTGTTAGTTAAAGTGAGAGTATGTTTTGGAATTTAGTGACTCTTATAAAATGCGGCGTCGTGCGAATAATAAGTAATTTGATTTGGGGACAGGTACGTAACATTTCTGTGACAAATAAAATATGATGTAGTTGACGCTCCGGATTAAGCACTAATATCGTTTTGTAAATCATATCACGGAAGAGAATCGTGATTTGAACATATTGCGGCGTTTCATGGACAATTATTTAATATCGTACAATGATATTTTCATTCATTTCACGCATCTATATTGTGATCTTCCTTTGTGCCATTAACAAACGAGGTTATCGGATACACAACATACTTACCTATCGCCAATGGGGTATGACTGAATTGTAGACATTTATTTCTTTTCCGACACTGAATTGACAATAATATTTAACATTTATGTTGCAAATACAATATATCAATTTTTCTATTTTATCATATATAATTGTTATGCTATATATAATTTACACTGTAAACTTAAAAGTATAAAGTAAATTCAATAATTTGATTATTAAATAAAAAATATCATAATTGAGATGTTAGTGTGTTAGGTGTATAATAATTTCGAAATAGTATATATAGTTTTATATTGTATATACATGTGATATAAAACTGTTTTATTATTTAAACAGATTATAATTATTTTTCAACTGGAGAAAATGATTTTCGCATTGCACAAAACGTGTAGATGATCCCTAATGTTTGTCCTGTAACATGGAAGCCGGCACAAGTCACATATGTTATGTCTTTTTGTATCTGCCGGAAGTACGTCTGGGGGGTAAATCGGAAAAGTTCGTGCATACTCGGTCTCAGTCGTAAACGGTCGGTTGCACGATCTTATGCGAACATAGCCGAGTATCATTCGCCAATCGCATCGATCCGCTGTCCACGTCGTTGTCACACAACAGTGTTGTACGCAGCACATCGTTGCGCTCTTTGGATATTTTGTGTTCGCAAGTATATTTTGGGACCAACTGAGTCTGATTTATCTCTCCAACGTAAGTTATTTTCTTTTAATATCATTGCGATAAGTTAAATTTGAATTATCATCAAATGTCCGGCAGAAATTCTGCATGTGTTGTATTCACTGGTACTTGATGCTTCTTTATCTCCAAGATGGCCGCCGTTTCATGAAAGTTCCCTTATGGCGTACGCTTTGCGATTCGTCTCCCTACTTGTATATTTTACTGTTCTCACGTCTCCATGATTATTGAATGTATATTCATTGTTTTGCACCACAATGCACGAACTATTCTTTGGAAATGTTAACTTTTGAACTAGCCACCTCGTGTTCAAAAGCGAGCCTCTCGCTAGCATTGATTTTGCTAGCGAGCGTACCCACGCGTACCGATTATCTCACGTTCGTTTTATTCCTATACTTTTTAGTGTATCTACTATTCTTTACACCATACTGTCGCATTAATCGACCTCTCTATTCAAGTTTCTTATGAAATCTACGGTCAACATTTTGGCGGGATTTCTATTTTCGTTTTCACTTGATCAGTAAATCCTCTGGATTTCATGAGGTTACATTTCACTTTGGACATTCTGGCAAATGATAGGTATTTTTATTTACCCCAATGGAGTGGGCTGTATTCGTGCATAGTGCTTGGTATGCTTTTACGATGCTACTGCCCACGTTTTACAGAATTTTTTGAGCTGATGTCCACGTCGTTGTCCAAAAACAGTGTCATACCACAAGCATCATCTTCACGTTCCTGGATATCATCCATCTTCGATTTCATTTGGGATCAAGTGAGCCTGTTTCGCCTTCCCAATGTAAGTACATGCAACCTAACTTCAATAGAAAGGCTCTGGTCCAAATACCTTTCGATTCATGCAACATCATTGTCGATTCGTTGCGTAAACATTGATTCTTCTACCTTTTATTGAAATGCTGTTCGTAACTTGCTGTGAGA